GTCAGCAGATCTGAGCTGTATGATTGACTCTGGCCTAACGGGATGTTGTCTAACTTCTCCTTCCCTCATACCTGCCAGCTATATTATTGGGATAAATTGGGAGAATTTTAGAGTGGGCCATGACTGGACAAAAGCAATACAGTTATTAACAACAACGAAGGAGGCAGAAATGTTTGAGGAATGTTTTTGAGTTATATTTGGGGAACAGCTGGATGAGGCTGTCCGAAGATATGATGTTCGATGATAATACTGTCTGTTCTGACAATAGCTCAGGAAGATGTCGAACTGCAGTTCTTGAAGACAGACATTTTCAAATTATCAGGTCCAGATTACTTTCACGCTGGAGTTTTGTAATTACTGACTGAGGAACTCTTGGATTATTAATGGCTTAGCATGCCTTGGGATACAGGAGAATTTTCAGAGGAAGTTCAACGGAGTCCTGTATCTGCAAACCTCATACCTATCCCAGGCAAAGTAAGGGGACAACTGACATATGACCTTTCTTAATAAAGAGATAAATGAGGATGCATTAATGCCAGTCAACAATGAATAACAAAAGCCATACTCTGCCAAGCATACTTCAGATCTTTGTGATGATACTGAAAGTTTGGTTGATGCTGGTAGTAATGCTGGTGTAACAGACCTTGACAGGATATTTGGCTTAGTATCATTTTGATGAGATTTTGACTAAGACTTGACTACCAGTAAAATACAAAACAAGGGACACAGTACATTGATTACAAGCTAACTGATATCAGAAAGAACTACAGATAGCTATTTTTATGAGCTGAGAGATGTTTGGAGAAAAGAGTTAGGCAGGATTTTTAGGATATCACATAGAATGTCATGATAAAAATCTGTTAGATGCACATTATCACTTGACAAAAATGCTCTGCGAAGATCTCAAAATTACCCAAAAAATTCCAGTCATAAATTTTAAGCTAACTTCTGTGATGTTTCAGAAATTAAGACTTCAGTTTGAACTGTTGTATTACCTGAAGTTGATCTTGATGAAGTCTCATAGGGCCAAACTGCACATCCGTTACTGGTGCCTAGAAGAAATAAGAAGGAATCTTATTAATACATATACACCTAGGGAAGAAGAAAAATTAGCTCTGTTAGAGAAGACATTTCTTATTTACCACTGTCTCAGAGATATATTGCTATCATTATGAGGCTGCTTCTTCATGAGGGTCTTATTCTGCTTTTGTAAATTTATGTGCCAAGCGACATTAACACAGTTAGAAATCAACAAGCTATTATTCAAGTCAGTTTTTTTTATTGTCATGTTAAACATAAAGTAATGGAATAGTCATGAAAGTTTGGTAGAGAGATTGTTATTTTTCTCTATCTTCTGTATCACTCCAGCTGTTCTGCAAAACACAGAAGTGTTTTAAAGTCCAAAAAAGCATTAAATGTCCAGGAGAAAGGCAAAAATACGTAACTCCGCTCTTAGAGTTTCACATGTAACAGGTGCCCAAGAGTACTACAAAACCACACTAATTTCATTTCTCCAAGGGCGTTTTGCTGCATTCCCTCCTTCCCGCCCAGCCCCTCCAGGGAAGGTTTCAGAACTTGTACTTGACAAAGCCTGTATTCAGCATGTAAATTTGCTTTGAAAAACCCTGCAAAAATGCTGTCACACATGTCATGCTTCCTGCGTGCCAGCGATTCCCACATTAGATTGTGTTCAACAAACACAGGCAAACAGTTCAGCTTAGGATGCACGACCTGAGCTTCCTTCTCGTGTCTCCCTTCAAGCAACGGAGGTCAATGACCAGAAGGGCTGTCTATCACAACTGATTATCTTCGATACGATTAATCATTAATCATGCTTGAACATGAATGACTTCAATTGGTATGGGATGGACTTTCTAAAGCAGTTAAACACATACATACAGAGGGAGACTCTAACAGGATTGCACACGTTGGGTTCTTTGGGAATTCCCACGAGGCAAGTATCTGCACTTTCATGTGCTTAAATATTTTTTCACCTCTTGTCTCAGAAATGAAAGCTAAAAAATGGGAAACAGAGTCCAACTAATGGTCCTTAGAGTTACATAGACTCTTCAAAGGTAACTGGAATAAAAAAGCATAAGAAAATTATTTTTAGCAATGCAGTAAATGAAAGACATCTCTGGATTCATACATACAAAGAAAAGATCTGATAAGCACAAAGGTGGCATTTTTACACTCTTTTTCAAAGTAAAACCACACTTGAAGATCAGATTTACTGCTTTGCAGCCTAAAATTTTTCCAGTAAGTAATTTTAAAGAATCATCAGCACATCCCACAGAACAGTCTTTTAGAATTACATGCTCCACTCTTTCTATGACCGTACAGCTCCATTGCTCAACCCTCAGAGTTTCTCATATGTGATTTTATTTATTTATCAACTTGGGAATCATCACTGCAACACTCAATAAGCAAGAGCCAAGGAAAAGCGGCAACATAGGTGCTGCAAAAACAAGCCAAGCACCAGTGTTTGCCTGTGTTATTTAAGAGGGCCTCTAAAAGCTGATGTTAAAATGACATGGAGGGGTTTCAGATTTACTCTCAGTCATTCTGGCCAGATCAGCTTAGTTTAAATACTCTCCAGTCAATTTTTTCTAATTTTGAGACCAAAATCTCTCTTCGGTTGGAAAAATCAAGCTGCTTTATTCTCCCTTGTGGCCCATCGTCCAATTTATTCAAAATCTGCACTAGAAATAGCACATAGTTTTGCTGATGATGCACATAGCAGGAGGGAATCCAGCGTTTTGCACCAGTGTTACTGGTTTTGCAGCACTGACAGTAGTAACTACTTGTCCGGAATCGGGAAGATGAGCAGAAATGCCCGAAGGACACAGAGGGAGCATATCTATTGAGCAAGAGATGCCTTTCTACAGCCGCTTCTCTGACCATAACCACACATGAAATTAAATTTTGAAGCATTTATTTTGTACGCTCCAGCTGCCAGCATAAAGCAGCAGGTGTTTCCAGTTTCACCAAGGGATGGGCCTGAGCTGTGAGGTTCAGCCCCAGAGCTGAACTTCACTGGCGTTTGGGCGGATGTAAAACCCCATCTATCAGGTCAGCGTACCCTTGGTCCCAGTCCAAGGGGAATTTTAACATGAGATAAACCCAGTATTGCCAGTTACTGCTTTTCAGATGCTTCTTTCTTTTAAAAAGGTTGTGAATGAATATTCATCAAAGTATTTAAAGGACTGAGCCTGAAAAATACTTTTCTGCCAGAAACCTGTGGCCATTTCTACACTAAAAATACCTGTCCATCCACCATTTAAGCTTAAAGTTACAAGGACTGCCCAAATGAGATAAACTGTCTTGTTACACGTTAACTCACTGTCCCAAGTAGAAGGAAAACTCCGTTCTGCATCTCAGCTGGAAAATTTTGGTGAACTCCAGTTAATTCTTAATCCTGTTGAAATCTGCTCAAATAACTTGCTTAATCACTTCAACTTTTTGCGTGCTGCTGGTAGGAGTGAGAAGTAACATGCTGATTAAGTACTGTGTCAAAAATCAAGGCTTCACAAGGATTAGCAGCAACTCTCTACTATCGGTGAACTAAATGAGCTTCAAAAATACCTCTAAAGCTGCAAGCTTACAACCAAACCAAACCCAGCCAAAGCTCATATGTATAGTAACTGCACAAACACAACTTCTGCTGCTGCTTCTGTGAAGTTTCTGTCCTACTTGAAAAACAAACCCTCAAGTACCTTTTCAGATTGACAGACATGACTTATGCACATGACAGCCTTCCAGGCAGGCACAAACCTGTAAGAAAGTGTAGGAGAAGGCAGAGAGGTAGAACTAGTTGCAGGTTTCTGGAATCGATCGAGACAGCGCTGGGTCCCTTACCAAAGAGCCGCCAACGCAAACTTCATGAGTAAGTACAGCATATGTGACCGTGGCAAGACCTGAGCGTGGACACTTTGGGCACCATGGCTATGAATGCAAGTCTTTTGAAAATCCTTCCTTGGCCAAACAACCTCAGAGGCCAGCCTACAGCTTGGGACCAAAGCCAACAGATGGTAGGAAGGGGTCCTGCTGCAGATTTCTGACAGCACAGCCTGCTCTCATCGCAGCCCCAGACTTAAACCACCCCATGGGTGCTGGCTGGCGCCAGGGCTCATGGTCTCAAAGGCATCTAAATGCCAGAAGGGTTTGCAACGCTACCTAATTCTCAGGGGTTTGAAAATGCAAACCATTTTGGCTCCTCTGTGCTACTGCAAACTTCCACAACAGCAGCAGCTCAGTTCCGCAGGTCTGGGGAGCGGGAGATGGCTGTAATAGCAGGCTGCAGGGCAGCAACTGCTAGTTAGCTTTAATTGCAGACAGCAGCTCAGTTACTGCAGCAGCAAGTGTTTACAGCCTCTGCCTGGAGACACAGCCGATAATCAACTCCAGGCTACTCCAAATGCTTACACACGGCTACTGCAGCCATTTTACATTCTCTGACCCACTGAACTACTGCTGGTAGCACTTATTTTCCCCAAAATTTGCCTTTCGTATTTGAACACCGTATTTTCTGTCCCGTTGAACCAGGCCTGGCCTTGGCACAAAGTGAGATCTGCCCCAAGGCGACGGCATTAGCCACGCACATGATGGCTGTCAACGGGGAGGTCTTCTCCTGCCCGCTGTGCGCAGTCACCGCTCGCTGGAAGCGAGCTGCACCTTCTAGCAGCTCAGTTGCAAACATTGAAATTGCTGATAGAAATACTTCCATGTTTCCAATGTCCAGAGAAAAGTGAATGTTTGGTAAATAAAAACAACTGAAATAAGCTTTAAAAAGACAAACCCAAACAACTGTGACGGATGTGATTAAAGTACAACAAACTCAACGCTGACCTGATGTAACCTGGTAAAGTACTTCTCGCTATGAGTCATGCTTCATATTTTACCAGAACAGAACCTAGAGGAATGGTCTGTTCATGGTTGCTGGGTTGGGTTTTTTTTTCTTCCTACAGCTAGAAAAACTTTAAATGAACTTGCTCGATGAATAAATGTAGAAAGGAATAGAGTGGAAACAAAGCCAGCTTGATCCACATGCTCCCTATGGTGATAAACTGCCTGGCGGGCGTGTGGGACACATCAAAGCATCCCACAGGTCCCCTATTTGCTAGAGGTCTCATATCTTGGCTTTCTCCAAAATGCCTCTCTTACCATTACCAATTGCAGAGGAGAGCAAACCTCCTGAAAGGGCAGAGTCAGCCCCCAAAAAACCCTTTGACTATTAACTCCCATGCAATACTCCTGCTATGCAGGGGCAAAAACATTCCTTTGGGAGGCTGATTGTCTTAAGTCACTTTTTTTATGAAGCTTTTGTGGGATGTTTTAAAGCCCTGTGCAGCCAAAGGTAACCCTCGTCAGAGCGGGGACCGCAGGCTGCTGCAGCACTACCCTCTCGGGAGGAGGGCTGGCTGGGGAGCCGGGGGGGTCCTGGGGAGCAGGAGCGCTCGCCCCAAACCCTCCTCCGCAATCCACAACCGCCCCATCGCTTCCTTTCTGCCACAGATGGGGCCGCGCGGGTGACAGGAATGACTCTTTGTCTGGGCACGTAATGGCCATGCACAGTCCTGGCCTCCTGCTAGTATCCCTCCCAAAAGGGCAGCTGGAAGCATTTCTGCTCCTGCTGCTCCTCTCGCCTTTTCCAGGTTAGTTTGCGGGAGATGTGAGAGCTTATTTTTCCTGCAACTGACTTGAACAAAGAAGCGACAAAAACTTTTGCTGAATGGATTGCAGATGGAAACTGCTACTGTACGGCGGGCACCCGGGTTTAGAAAGCAGATAATGAGAAGAGAATTTCTGTTAGTAGTTTAACACTAAGTAACTGCCTCTTCAAATAAAGACTTCAACCTCAAGGCTCTGACTCATTATAATATATGAGACAGATAACTACAATGATTAGACATAAGACTTTATCACTGGTCCTAATGGACTACAGCCAGCAAAATTAATCATTTTACTCAGATCAATATTTTAACACGTCACAAAAATGTGTTTTATCCAATTTTAAAATATATACTTAAGTTTTCTACATACACTGTATACA